AAACACTGACACAAGACATTTCAGAATTACCCCCAAATCTTCCTTGCGTCACCCCTAGAACCAGCCATTTTCTTAAAGTGTCTTGGGGTTTTTTTGTTGTTGTTGTTTTTATTGGAGAATGAAATTTAGAAACCAATATCTGGGGGCTAGGTGTATTTTACATATAATGGTATTAACACTTATGGAAATATTTGTTTTCATCTACCACCTGCCTGGGTTGGAGGTAAAATAGTGGGATGGTTAGGAGGGTGGGCTCTGGATCCAGACTGCCTGAATTCTCATCCCAGCCCCATGGACAAGCCATAAAATCTTGGGAGAGTTACTTACAATTTAATCACCTGTGTGATGGTGTTTATAACAGTGTCTTCCTCAAAAGGTGATTGTGAGAATTTAGTGAGATTTACATGTAAGGTTCTTCAACTCATACCTGGCACACAGTAATTACTCAGTAAATATTTATTGAATGATCCTCATGTTGATTAGAAGCTCTGACAGAAGAATGAAAATGAAGGGGAAATCCTGATCTATATCCTTTTCAGAAAATAAATAAAAAGTGAATTTGTCAGAAATCTTTATCCTCTTGTAGAAATTCTCTACAATTTTTAAGAATTCTCTACAATAATTTTAAACTTTTTTAATATGCTGTAATATACCATAAGCTAAAGATATCCCTGTGAAATGCCACATATGCGATTCAAGAAAATAATGTTTTCTGTTCATTTATGTTCATGTTCGTACTTCTTCATTAAAAAATAAAATAAAAGTCAGAAAGAAAACCACACAAGCCTGGTGCCAAACCTAAATGTGACTGTCTGGGGCTCAGATTCCTACAGACACCAAGACAATTGAGAAAAGAGGAAAGAGGAGGAGAAATTGGAGAAGGACAAAGACCACAATCATTCACCCTGGTGCTCTCTTGAGGAGGTGTGAGAGCTGCCAGAATCTGTCTGCAAAGAAGATGCAAGGCAAAGAAGGAAGTCTAATCCCAAGCATGTTTCAAATAACATCTTCTCAACAACTGACATCTCTATACCAAATTCCTGATTTCATTACCTCCAGGAACAGCTATCCTGAAGGGTCTCACCAAAAAGCTTAGTTGGTTCCTTCTGGGCAAGGAAAGAATCATTAGAAATATTCTAGATAATTTTTAGGTTTTAAATTGGTGTTTTAGTCCCTTTGCAATTCTTGCTCAAGTTTTCCTCACCTTCTAAGTCTGAATAAGTAATTTCCAAATCACCATGACTTGTTGAAAATCATGACCACAGAATCTTTTAGTCCATTGAAACATGGTAGCTAATGGCTTAACTTGAAAATGGAATGGATTTCCCATCAGAGTACTCATAGTACATGACTGTGTTTTTGTAACCTAACACAATGAAGAAGTTGTCACTAGATTATTCAGCAAGTTAGAATCTCAATTCCCTTTCTGGGGAGGAAATCTGAGGCATGTGTTTTTGCTAGATGCTGGAATCAATGTCAGGCAGAGATTATGCACAGGAAGTTAGGAAGTAAGGTCAATCAATTGTCTACCTTGGTCAGAACCAAGTTTTACAGCCAAATCTCTCTCTCTCTCTCTCTCTCTCTCTCTCTCTCTCTCACACACACACACACACACACACACACACACACACACACCAAGTCTCAACTGCTCCATTTCTATAAAGGTTCTTGGCAAAATTCCCCTAGGGCAAAATCACTAGTAACTGGAGTTTTCAGCTCATTCAGTATCAGTGGGAAATCACTAGTAACTGGAGTTTTCAGCTCATTCAGTATCAGTGGGAAATTTGCCACATTGGCTTTTGACTGACAACCACAAAAACCAGTTTGACTGGGAGTAGTGAGACCAGGAGGTCTAGGTGGAGTATTAGCTCACCAGCTTGGAATGATAACTTGGAGACTGCTCACACCACTTCTTATGTATACTTCAATCTAAGTCTGTGAGAGCACTGAAATCACAGAAATGACAGCAGATTTATAGCAGGAAGGTTTTTTTTTATTCAGAACTCAACCACCAAATAAAAGCTCCTTTCATCAGGGAACCCTGGAAAGTGGTGTCTAAAAATCAGCTCCAAGCCAACTGCACTTACTTCTCAATCTTGTATGATCTCCAATTCCCACAGAAGCCCCACTGGGCTGAATTTTTAATGGCACAAAAGCACAAGGGAGAGAGGTCCACCCCAAGCTTTCTGGAGGAAAATGTTTAACATATTTTTTTATGTAAGATCAAAGGCCAGGTGGGGAAATCCTTTTACACATTAAATCAGGATGAAAATAGGTTTTATTATTTCTCTCCTATACTGAATTTAGGAAAAATTAATTAGTATTTTTAAACTTTTAATTGTGCATGCATATATCTTGATTGTTGACAGTTCTATTTTTCTACAATAAAACCAAGCTTATTGACTATTGGCCATAGCCTTAGTGCTGTGATTCCACTATATTTCTGGCCATTCAACCCATGTTTGTGGGAAGTGTTCTCATTTGAAAATACAAGGTTAACTTTAAAATCATTTGTCTAATTAAAGTAGAACCAAAATAATTAATGTCTTGAAATTATGTTATTCAGAAATGACAAATAAAAAGTGCTTAAATCTGGTCCACGTTTTTCATTGGAGAGGGTGTTGTGATGTCAACGTGTAAAGTAAAGGTCACGAGTGTCTGAGTCAGTGAGACCTGAGTAGAAGGAATCCAGAGTGTGTCACTCACCAGCCTGTGACTCTAGCTTCCTCACTTACCCATAAGAGCCTCCGTTTCCTCACCTGGAAGCAGCTCCACACAAGAGAGCTATAAAATTCTATTGCAATGAGAGAGGCTGCATACTATTTAATTTTTCCTCCCTCTTCCCCTAAATGTACAGAAACTAGATAACAGTTTTTGCCATCTTCCCCCAAAGGTAGCTGGGATCTGGAAATGTAAAAGAGAACCACAGAGAGAATCACTTAGTTGATTAGCTGCTCCTGAGAATCCTGGGTAAAACTGAAAATTTTCAAATGGAAATGCCAAATCTGCCTAACTTTCATAAGACATTTTGGTTTTGCTTAAAAGCAAATAACCTTAGAAATGAACATACTCAACTCTGTTATTTATTTGAACAAAATTTAGCAAATGTTTATTGAGAGCCAACTAAATGCTGACACTGTTTTAGCTGCTATGCCCTGGAAGATAGCCTGCTCTCTGAGACCTTAGCAGAGCTGGGGTGGCTGATGAGGATATACATTAGGGCATCACGGTCTGCATGGTGCTGGATGGTGGGGGGGGGGATATTTAAGGACAAAATGGGAGTTATATGCAGGGTTTTAGACAGACAAGGGTGTGGTGGGTGTCATGGAAAAACTGGTGGGACAGATCAACAGAGTGGAAGGTTAGAATGAGGATGCCTCAACTCACTCACCTATACTGCCACCCAGACCCTGACATCTGTGGAATCCTGCCTGTAGTAGGACTTCAGCCAGGACAGAGGGCACCCATTCCCTGTTGTTGGATGCATGGTGGTGAAGGGATGGTGCACTTGTGCAGACTGCCTCCCTACACCTGAGCAGACAGTGGTGCCAGCTTCCCTGCCAACACTAAGTTTTCCATTTGTCTATTTCCTCAAGCTAGTGTGGATTATGGCCTCACGTTTGCTAGCATGCTCAGGCCATGCTTCCTCTTAAGTCCTCCTCCCAGAGTGGATCGCTGTCAGTAACTCCAGTTGGCTTCTCACATTTAGTATGCATCTTGCTCTCTAGTTTTGGCCCAAATTCCTTGGATTCTGGCCTCAGCCTGAGCTTCTGGATTCACCAGCCTCACTCCCTTTTCTTTTCTGAATTAATAACTCACCATCTTGGCCTTTGGCTTCTTTTCTGTCCTCATTATTTTGTCCTGGCACATCTGGCCACCCTGTCCTCTCCCCATGCTGCCTGATGGTCCAACCTGCTATTCAAGGGCTAAACAGATTCAGAACCAGAATTCTCTGCAGGAACCACATCAGAAAGTTGGTCATACACCCTTTTTCTGCCTTTATGTGTAAGCCTGTGACAACCCATCTCAGGGGATTGTCTGGCTGGGGAGACCACAGTTCACCCCCCCGCATCAATGACTGTGACTCTAGTCATTCCAGTTTCTCTCAATCTTGTCTCCCCAGTCTGCTTGTCAGTTCTCTTCTCTTCTCTTCTCTTCTCTTCTCTTCTCTTCTCTTCTCTTCTCTTCTCTTCTCTTTCTTTCTCTCCCTCTTCCCTCGTCCCCCTCCATCTTCCCCCTCCCTCTTCTCTCTCCCTCCCTCCCCTCCTCCTCCTCCTCCTCCTTCTTCTTATCTATCCTTCTCCCACACTGTAGACCTCCCTGGGCCCTCCCTGCCATCACTTTGCCTGACAGCAATACCCAGCAATAAAAGGTGTCTGAGCTCTTGATATTGACTAATGCCATCTTTGTTTTAGTACCAGATTTGATTTTGAAGGCTGGACAGTCAGGACAGCCTGCAGAGCATGCCGTAGGCAGAGGAAAGAATGCTGCTCTGTAATTTTCCAGACAGCTTCCTCAAATCCATGGGCGATGGCTTGGACGCCTTGCCTTTAACAGAACAGGAAACAAGCTCAGACCTCAGGGACTAGCCCGGGTTTCGAATTAAATCAGTGCAGAAGTGGAAGTGAACCCAGAGCTCTCAAACTGAAAACTGTCCTGCATGGAGCAGGATCACAGTCCACCATCTTTCAAAGCCTCAAGCCGGGCAGATCACAGCGTGGACACTTACACTTGGCAGTTACTAGTAAGTTGTACTAGACTTTCCTCTGGATTTTTTTTAATCCTGTAAAGGAATTGCACAGTTAATTTCTTGTTGAGGATTAATCATTTTCTCTCCTCCCTATGACTGACTGTTCCTCATGTCCTGCCCCTGGTTTCACTTGTCCCAACCCTTTTGAAGGGCGGGACATTCCTTCTCTCTCCCCTCCCCAACTGCAGCCTGTAATCAGGACCAATGAAAGCAAGCTACCTCATCCACCCTGTGACTAAGAATCACAGTATTTAAGAGGTTGTAGGAATGGGCTGAAAATCGGCTTTTGTTTTCTGTGCAGACAGGCACACTCCCATCTGATTTGGGCAATCCCTCACCTGCAGAGTGAAGGGGGAAAATAACCCCCAGACTCCCTGCCACCATGTGCTACGGCAAGTGCGCACGATGCATCGGACAGTCTCTGATGGGGCTCGCCATCCTCTGCATTGTAGCTAACATCTTGCTGTACTTTCCCAATGGGGAAACAAAGTATGCCTCTGAAGACCACCTCAGCAAGTTTGTGTGGTTTTTTTCTGGCATCATAGGAGGAGGCTTGCTGGTAAGTTGTTCAAAATTATTACAACTTTAACAACTTCTCTTCTGTTAAATGTGATGATTTCTTGTGTTTTCATGGAAAGTTTTCTATAATGCCTATTTCCAAATCCAGCGATTTTTGTTCATTCTTCTTTTGAAAGCAGATTATGCAAAAGTTGAGATAGGTATAAGACTAATTTTATTGGATGTCGTTTTACAAAATCCTCTTTCAACTAAAAATGAACTATCTTTGTGCTAAACTCTCTTACTTTACAACTAGAAACAGATACTAGCTGTTAAATCAGATTAGAGAGACTGGAGTTTCTAGTCCTGAAGCTGGCAGCCCTGGAGAATTTTTGCTCTGGGGAGTTGAGAGGAGTCAGCTGGTTTTCTGTCTAAATCAACAGAACTTGGGATCCAAAATCTCTGCTGTTTGTCCTCAGGCATCTGCAACAGGAAAATATATATATATATAAATTGTGAGTGCATTATTATTTAGAAAGAACTATAGATTTTCTCCTTTATGTAATTCTTGGGTGTGGTGTCCAGGAAAATCTTGCCGTTAGCAGCAGATCAGTGTCTGAAGCTGCAGTGGAATGTGTTGTTTTTTTCAAAGTTTATTTTTAATTGAAGTGAGAGGAATGTGCTTGCCAATTTTGGAGCTGAAAATACTAGCTTTAAGCATATCATGGAAAGAATGTGTACAAACTTGAGCTTGCTACTCTAAAATTCTGGGATTGAGAATTTTAAAGAGAAGTTTATAGAATTACTAATACTAGACAAAATAGTTTTCTTATTCAAATAAAGGATATTAAAACATTTAAACCTTCATATACTAATTATAGTTTGATAAATCTGCTTTGAATTTAAACATTACTATCACATTAATATAATCATTTGTCCTTCAATAATATTGTACTTGTTTAAGCTTCTTTTTATCTCAAAGTATTTCATACTTACTTTATATAAAGAGCTTTGTTATAAAGCTATAACCATACAATCATGTCTTCACAGAAGCAGTTCACTTTTATTATTACACAGCTTCCACCTCTTCCATTTACAAAAAAAGGTGTCAGTTATTCTGTTAAGGATTGTTGGTATCTTCTATGTTTTACAATGAAAAACAAATCAGATTTAAAGGCAAGGTTTAATAATTGCAAAAAAACACTTGCAAAAAGCAACAACAACAAAACCCAGCAGCAGTTGCAGCTAGTGCTATGTTAGGAACTCATGTGAAATAAGCACATTCAAAGGTTATTATTTTAGTCCTCCCATATCACACACCCTCACCCTAAAGAATGCTTTACACATTACCTGAAAACAAGCAGATATTACATTTAGAGGGTTTTTTCTCTTCATCATTTCACATTATTTGAGATACCTGATCAATTTAACCCAATGCCAGTTAACAATGTCAGAAACAAATATATTTTACCAAAAGTACTTAACCTGGCCCTTTAAGGACTTGGAGAAAGACAATGACTTTAATCTGTTTGTTTTCTAATCAGATATTCCTGCCAGCGTTTGTCTTCATTGGGCTGGAACAAGAGGACTGCTGTGGCTGCTGCGGCCACGACAACTGTGGCAAAAGATGCGCGGTAGGTCCTCCTGCTCTGGTGGAGACATTGGTTTTCACATCATTGCAGGATGCTCTGTGGCTCACCCCCGGTGTTTCTCCTCCTCTAGATGCTTTCTTCTGTGCTGGCATCTCTCATTGGAATTGCAGGGTCTGGCTACTGTGTCATTGTGGCAGCTCTGGGCTTAGCGGCAGGACCACTATGTCTTGATTCCTCCAACCAGTGGAACTATACCTTTCTGGACACTGAAGGACAGTGAGTAATTGTTCTGTAACAGACCACACATTCTTATCCACCACATGTGTATAGTGGAAACCCATTAAACTAAAAAGGCATCATTCATCCGTTCATCCATCCACTCAGCCAGGTTTGTTGGCACTGACTGAGTCATGGATTAGGGTGTCTGAGGGTTGATGCTCAGTGCCTGATGTGGAGAAGCTCTAAGGCTTTTTAGTGGACACACTGAAGCAGTCTCATGATAACCCTGTGAGGTGACTTCCACTATCGCTCCCACTTAAAAAAATGAGCAAACAAAGACACAGAGAGATGAAGTAACTTAACCAAAGCCACATTGTGAGGACATGCAATCAGGATTCGAACCCACGTAGCCTGGCTGTAGTTTGTGTTCATATGTACACTATTTCAGAACAATTGGCTGCTTCTACTATTTTATAAGAAATATTATGGAATCCTTATATAGAAGGAAACTATGTGAATTTAATCAAAGCCTAGGAAAATCATACTACTACTCTTCCTTCCCATACACATTCACATAAACATAACTATGTACAATGTATCCTTACTTAAAGTGATATCTACACTAATAAAAGACAAACATGCAAATTACCATAACCTTCGCTATGCCTTAAGCCACGCCCACCATCCAATCAGAGCGACTATATGCAAATTAACCCAACCAAGATAGTGGCCAGCAGCCACAGAGCTGGAGCAAGCAGGAGGCTTGGTTTCTCCAGTGATGGAGCAAGCCAAGCTTCCTGCG